GGGTCCTCGAGCTGTACAAGATCGATTGTACAGTTCGAAACTTCCTCGAGACCTGTATGGGGCAGTGGAGTACGCAGCTTAGTCTGTTCGGGGTGCAGCTGTCGGATGCGGAAGACCGAATAAAGATTGAGAGGGGTATATTCCAGGGCGATTGTCTGAGTCCACTTTGGTTTTGCCTGTCCCTAAATCCGCTTAGCACTTTGCTGGATAAACCAGGGACAGGTTTTCAGTTGAAGAGAGGATTGTTCAAAATATCACACCTCTTCTACATGGATGATCTCAAGTTGCTTGCCCCAAATGCTCAGAGGCTGGCGGAGCTGCTGAAAATCACAAAGGATTTCAGTAGCTCCATCAGCATGGAGTTTGGGCTGGACAAGTGTGCGGTTATCCATGTGGATAGAGGTCGGATAAGTGATTCCAACCAAGTGGACCTACCGGATGGATCCACCATCCGTACCCTCTCCGAAACTGATACATACCGGTATCTGGGTATGTCACAGAATCTGGGTGTGCATATGGCGGACGTGAAACAATCCGTTAAGGAGGCCTTTTTGGGACGCCTGACTAAGGTGCTTGAAAGCTACCTATCAGGCGTCAACAAAGTCAGGGCCATCAACGGTTGGGTCATGCCAGTCCTAATGTACACCTTTGGCATACTCAGATGGACTCAGACCGAATTGGACGCCCTGGATCGGAAAGTCCGCACAACTTTGACACTCCATAGGATGCACCACCCGAGATCGTCAGTGATGAGGCTGTATATCCCGAGGAAGAGCGGCGGTCGTGGGCTGCTCAGTGCGAAAACCCTGCACAACCGCGAGATACACAGTCTCCGTAACTACTTCCTGGCGAAATCGGAATCCAGTGAGTTGCATAGAGATGTCAAAGCATGTGATGTAGGACTAACCCCTCTCTCTTTGGCCACCGAGCAATGGCGAGAACCGGCAGTACTTAGCACCACTGACCGAGAGGCCATTTGGAGGGAGAAGGAGTTGCACGGTAGGTTCTACAAGGCGCTACACGAGCGTCATGTGGATCCGAGAACCTCCGTGCATTGGCTGCGCTTCGGGGACCTCTTTGGGGAAACCGAAGGTTTTGTCTGTGCAATACAGGACCAGGTCATTATGACCCGAAACTACCGGAAGTATATCCTGAAGGATGGGACAGAGGATGTTTGTAGAGCCTGTCACCAGCCCGGTGAGTCACTCAGGCATATTACTTCCGGTTGTCCTGTACTGGCTAATACCGAGTATTTGCACAGACATGACCAAGCAGCCAAAATACTCCATCTCGAGCTAGCCTTCAAATACGGCCTCATAGGCGAAAAGGTGCCGTACTATAAGTATGTGCCGGAGCCAGTTCTTGAAAATGACCGCGCTCGATTATACTGGGACCGGTCCGTCATTACGGACAGGACTGTTCCTGCGAACAAGCCTGATATCGTACTGATGGACCGGGCGGAATCTCGGGTGTTCTTAGTGGATGTCACCGTCCCATTCGATGAAAACCTCGTGAAAGCCGAATCAGATAAAAAACTTAAATATCTGAACCTGGCGCACGAGGTTACCGATATGTGGCGAGTGTCATCCACTGAGATCATCCCAGTCGTAGTGTCAACGAATGGCCTAGTCCCGACTTCTCTTCACGACCATCTGAAGAGGTTGGGACTCCGTGACGGACCAATGATTGCGAGGCTCCAGCGGGCGATCTTGCTCGATAACGCAAGGATCGTCCGCCGTTTTCTCTCTTTGTCGCCCTGACCCCCGGCCGTCTGGCCTCCTCTGCCGGGGGGAATCCTCCCCCCCCTCGAATCGTCGAGGGGTCATTAACACTCATATACACAAATCAAAATTTAGTTTATACAAATAAATAAAATTGAAAATTAAAACATGCAATAAATTTTAAAATCAAAAATATAAACAAATAATAATAATAATAATAAGTGAATTCATTACAATTATCTAAAATACATTAAATCATCGTCATATCTAAATGCCGCGAAGATTAATTAAAGATCATATTAAAAAAATAAAAATAAAAATCAAATTAAAAACAACATAAATAAAACATTAAATTAATACATTCTATAGAATCGCTCATAAATCACATATAATCATTTTACATGAGTCATAGATTGATAGTAAGATTTTATTATTGGTATTTCTGATTCTGTCTTTGAAAGCGGCAGCCCTTTTTCTCATAATTGCAAAAAAATCATCAACCCTATTGTCGAAGAACATGCCGGACGCGCTACACCGCCATGGCAGGTTCATCATTGCTCTGAAAGCGTTATTATATTGCACACGCAACGCATGATAGGCGCGTTGCGTGAAATTTGTCCACAGCTGGCTGGTGTAAAACGCCTGACAGTAGGCACTAAAAAGAGTGACTTTCACGGCTTTACTGCATTTAGAAAATCTACGAGCCAGCATGTTACTTTTAACAGCAATACTTCTTTTCTGACGTTCCATATCATCATCATCACTTAAATCATCTCTTATTATGTGACCTAAATATTTGAACTTGCTGACCTGTTTTATGACAGAACCGTTAAGACAAATTTTTGGGCTAAAGTTATTTATCCTGTTTTGTCCAAATATCATAAGCTCAGTCTTGTTCACATTATATGTCAATTCGTGTACATTAGCATATTTTACACAAATATTAAGTAATTTTTTCAATCCATTGATGGAGGGACTCAGGAGAACCATGTCGTCCGCATAACTCAAATTATTTACAGGCTGATTGCTCATATGGCAGCCGACACCGGATCTCCCAAGTTCCACCAACAAGCCATCAATATACAAATTAAAAAGTAACGGGGACGAAAGCCCACCCTGGCGGACGCCACAACCGAGCACATATTCCACAGAAAAACAGTTTCTCCACTTTACTGTATTAGTTTGGTTTAGGTACCAGTACTTAAAGAGTCCCACTATATCCCATGGCACACCCGCCCCCTCCAGCTTGGACCAAAGTATATTGTAATTAATTGTATCAAAAGCTCGGCTGAGATCAAGAAAACAGGCATATATGTTGGTATTTCTGGAAAGATAATATTTAACAGTGTTTTTTAAAGCAAAAACGGCCGCGTCCGTAGATAAGCCGGTACGAAAACCAAACTGAGCATCGTTGAGTTTGATATGCTTTATTAACTCAGGTTGCAGGAGTGCCTCAAAAATCTTGGACAAACTAGTGGCCAATGAGATAGGCCTATAGTTTTTCAAGTTAGTCGAATCGCTCGAACCGTGTTTAAGAATAGGTACAACTATTGTCCTCATAAAATCCTTAGGCAAATAACAATGTGACAAACATAAATTATAAAATTTAGTAAGCATAGTATGTAACAATTGACCTCCATAGTATACATGCTCCACGCTAAGACCATCATGCCCAGGAGACTTACCCTTTTTCATATTTTTTAAACACTGAATTAAACAGTCTGTCGTTATATTGAAGTTTGCGCTCGGTAGGTATTCACCGACACAGTGCTCCGAGCGCGGTGAGTCATGCACAGGGCCGCCGCTTACACAGTTACCTGCTTGGAAATGCGACGCGAACATATCAGCTATTTTACCCGTGTCCTGACAATTATTAACAGTGACAGGCAGGGAGGGCCTAAAAGATAATTTATTAGTTGATTTCCAAAAACTGTGAAAATCGCCACTAGCTCTTTGTTCGGCAATAATATCCATTTTTAGTTGCGTTTGATTATTTTGACACCATTTGAGCTTGTTTTTAAATGTCTTTTTTGTTTCTTTCATATTGTCATACAAGGTGCCATGCGTCGGCCCACCGTGCCATAACCACAACTGATAGTGATACTTGGCTTCAGCATGTAAATGTTTCACATGGTGATTCCAACCTACGACATGTTTCTTTCTATGTTGTTTATTATTACTAGCACAGCTAGTTTCTATAGCTGCATTACTTAAACAATTTACCAACAAACCGTACATTTCATTTATTATACAGAAATGATCTAAATTACTACACGGTTTATCACAGCACAACAAGGTATATTTATCTAAATTGCATTTTTCTAAAAAATTGTTACATAATCTGGTGTAATTACTAAACATATCTAGATTTCTATTTTTCCAGAAAATGTTATTATTAATAGAAATATTACAAATATCAACAGTTTTAGGTACTATAAGAGACATATCACATTCCATTACTAGCGGAAAATGGTCAGACCATGACACATCTACGAGCACCCGCGCTTCAGATAACATGCTGCGAGCCGCCGCAGTCACTAAACAGTGATCTAACCAACTACATGTCCCGTGGGCCTCACTCAAGAAAGTAAAGGTGCCCGAGGACTTACCGAGAATGTCAACATCAGCACATATCCAGTTCTGGTCATCACAGAAACATTCCAACTCATCACCGAACATACTATTCACATCTGCGTTGAAATCACCCAACACTATAGCGTAGTCGCTGCCGCTGTCTTCTATTATTGCACTTACTATACCGAGGCATTCGATAAATTCAGGGAGATTGTCTTTACACTCTATAGGCATATACACCGACATTACGATTATATTCCTGTCTCCGAGGGTTATTTTAACCGCCACGATGCGTTTTGAATTACATAATATCGGCATGACATTGACGAATAGCGACTTTCTCCATAATAGTCCAGTTCCTCCGTAGGGTCTACCCTTCAGGGTACCCACTGATGTGTCAATCGGGGAAACCGCATGATAGTTGAAATCTTCATGCATCTGCCCGAGGAACCCCAGATCATCAGGATACAACCATAACTCCTGAAGTGCTATGATATCATATTCCTTACAAAGTTGTGCAACGTAGGGTTGTGATCTCTTAATAGATTTACAATTGAAATTTGCTATTTTAACGTTTCTGCATATTTCCGACGTCATAATATAGTAAACCGAGAACTATTTATGTAATAGGTGTTTCTTATAAACTTTTGGTTACAATAAAAAAAAAAAAAAAATTTAAGAGTGAAGGTAGTCGTGAATTTATCGTCAGGTGAGCGCAGCGGACCCTTGATTAACGTTAAATCTCTGTTTGAATACTCTAAAAACAATTGATTCCGGCCAAAAATCTTCTTTTAACACTATAGAAAGGTCCTTTTTAGCTACCAGTATTTTAAATGATTTAAAATTGGTTTCTTTCTTCTGTTTCAATGTTTCTATTCCAAATAAACAGCGTTCATTTTCCTTGAAATAATTTTGTATGTCAGTTTCGGTGCAGTCGTTACAAAATCTGGATATATAGACCGGAATTATTTGCTCGGCCGCCTTTAATGCTGTGGTGCCATTGGTGCCCCTTTTATTTTTTGATTGAAAGTACGGTCTATTACTTGTTTCTTGATAATTTTCAATATGTGGTCTTTTTCTTTTTCTAGTAACTAGGCGAAAGCCCTGATCGTCTGTGTCTTGTATCGTAGAATCATTAATTGATGGATCAGAGACCTTACCACTCATTACCGCTTGGCTAAAGTTCAATACTGGGGTTTTCTTCGTTAAAAATGACGAAAAGTCCCTTAAATTGCAATTATTTGAAATTGTATTAACAACGTTGGATCCCTTCATAGAATCATTAGAATAATTTTGAGTTGCGGGTAGTACATGACAGCAATCCGCTACTCTTTTTTCTTTAAGTTCTTTAATTTCACACTCAAGTTTACTAACAGAATTCCTCGTTTCAGTTTGATACGTTAGCAATTCATTTTTTAATGTAGCCAGTGTCTTCAGCAAGCTACTTACGTCGAGATGATCGAAAGTTACAGATGGCAACCTATTCAGGTCTTTGGCTGCAAAAGTAGGCAGATGTTCTGATTCCTTCAAAGTCTTTATTACATCGCTGATATTATTCTGATTTCTTTTATCACCTTTTCTGATCACTTTTCTTATCTTCACTAATTCGCATAGTAACGTTTTAGCACACTCGATTTCCTCTTCGTTATACCATGCACTACATATTTGCACGAGACTTAGTTCGTCCATTACATCACACTTGTTTTGAAGAAAACATAATAATTCGTTTATAACAAGATTGCACTCGCACGGCATAATGACGGTCAAAACATTACATCGAGCGCTAAAGACTAATAGCAAAACGCAGTGAGCTATTCGAGGTGATACGCGATATGTGCGCACACAACGACCGCCAATGACGGAAGGATGAAATTTTGTATAAGTCTTCTAAGATTTTTGACTGATTGAACTGAAATTAAAGATTGGAGCTACTATGATGATGACGTCCACATAAATAGGATTTAGATAAATGATGGAGGATGAAAATGTATTACTTTGAACCTATCGGTACCTAATGGAACGAATAAATAAATATTCGTTAGAAATGCTGCTCAAAGTAACTTTACCACGCGGACGAAGTCGCGAGCAAAAGCTAGTTTATTGATAAGAGGTGAGGTTATAACGTATGCGTCCTTTGGGGAGTGATTATTTAGCAATAATTTGATCAATGGCGTATATTCAATAACTCGTATTACTTTTAATATGATTTCGATAGAGCTGAGTGGGATTTACTAGACTAAAACCTTTCTACAGGGTCATAGTTTAATAACTCTATTCAACAAATAATTGCTTTTAAAACTTATTGGACTATAGCTGTCCGAGTCGACTTTGTTCCATTATACTTTATTTAAATACTTATCAGAGAAATAGAGTAACTTTTAAATAGTGGAAGAGTTTGAAAGAAGTTCAGTCTGAATATCACTTTCTCTGAAAAAAAAACTCTGAAATCAGCTCCCATAATTATCAATTGGTTAGTCTCATAATTATTCTTCAGTTTTGTGGATATATATCTCTTATACATATTATGGTTTAATAAATCGTACCTAATATTTTTTTTTAGAAATCCTATCAATTTTTTTATCTTTTTTTCTTAAGACATTACATACATACACCTCGAACTGATAACCTCCTTTTTTTGAAGTCAATTAAAAAAATAATCATTGCTATCCGATGTCTGGTATGCGATAAATACGTGGACAAACATACAGACATACATACATATACACCTTAGAAATTTAGCACACGTGTTTACAAGCGCACACAGACCAACATATATGAATATTACGCCATTCTAATGAAATTATGTATGTACACATACGCTTCGAATTGACAACCTAATAGGCAACCATATAATAGATTATCTTAAATTAAATGAATTTTGTGCCGTATTCCTACAAAATTAGATACATACAGGTCAAATTAATTGCCTCATTGCTTTTAAGAGCGATTAAAAACGTATAAGTCAAGTTGATAGCTTCTTTTTTAAGTCTGTTTATGACGTACACATACACAGGTAAATTAATGGCCCCCTTTTTTGAAGTTGGTTAAAGAAAACCTTAGATGGCGCTAGGAGTACAAAGGAGACACATTATTTTTTATTTTTATATATAGCGTTGGCATATATAGAGCTAATGTTGGTTCTAAAATTCGTGACAGAGGCCTACCGGAGCACGTGTACTACTACACCTATCATGAAGAAACTATGCAGTAGAGTACATTATATCATATTTGAATCCTTGTATTGAGCCCATTAATTTGATACCCATATGTAGTATTTGAAACAAACCATTTTTGTATCATTAGATATTATGGTGTCGTTAAGCCATAATATTTGATTTTTTTACGTTACCTATATTAGAACACTGTGGCTACTAAGACAAATTAACGATACCTAACTTATGTAAACTCGTTCAACGGTTCTGGAAATATGAGCTTATAAATAATATAACATACATGTATACAAGATACGCGCGAAAAATATAACCCTTCCTTTGCAACAAAATTACTTTGGACTTTTCTTTTGAAAATTATTTCAAAATCACCAAGAGTTTTATAGTGTAAAAAATTCAGTTATTTAGTCTTTTAAAAAGGTTTGGTGGTCTTTTGAATTTTATTCCAGTAGTTACTTTTTCAATTGCAGTTCAAAATGAACGTAAAATGTTATCTCGAGCATTCTCTACTGTGTTTTTAATGGGAAACATTAAAATCAACATGGTTTTAATGACGTTTTGAATGCGAAGAACACGTGTGTCTGAGATGCTCTTCCATAAAAGTAAGTTTAAGCTTGAGAATTTTAAAGTATAATGAAAGGTTAAACAAAATAAGGAAATAACTTTGTTGAAATATTTTGTTAAAATATTGACAGCTTTGTTATTGTACATTATTTGTTTAGAGCTATTTTTTTATATTGACTGGCAGACGTAATGCCGTAAGGCATTCATAATCTTATCATTTTATATTATGATAACCACGCTAGTAGCGCTTCTTGGTAAACCTTGGTCCGGGCCTGTAACGGCTCTAACCTCTAACGGCTCAAATCCATTAGTGTGTGTGAATAATAGGGGTTAAGGTATAAAATTGCCGATTTGTACTGAAAATCAAAATTTTTAACAAATTTATTTAATCATAATAGGTACCATTATTATCCATACATTGCTGCCTTCTAATAGGAAGGTCATTTATGCCTTTGCGATAGAACTCTGAGGATCTAGACTGCACAAACTGTGTGAAAGCATTTTGTATTGCCTCCTTGGAAGAAAACTTCTTGTCACGTAGATAATTGTCCAAATCACGAAAAAAATGGTAATCATTGGACGAATGGTTTCTAACTACAGTTCCTGAAGGGTCAAAACGGCATCTCGTGCTGTATGAGGTCTCGCGTTGTTATGGAGCAATAATGGTCAAGATCGATTCATGAGTCGGGGCTGTTTTACTGGCAACACTGTTCGGAGTTCGGAACTATAGACATCTGCCATTATTGCTTGACTAGATCGGAGAAAACTATAGTGAATAACACCATGCTGAGACCACCAAACACCTACCATTACCTTTTTATTGGTAAGTTTTGCTTTAGGACACTGTTGTGGCGTTTGACCTTGGGTCAGCCACTGCATTTTTCTTTTACGGTTATCATAAAGAATCCACTTTTCATCACATTTCACAATTCGATCCAATATTCCTTCATTTTTGTACCGATTCAACAAGGTAACACAAGTTTCAACACGCGTTTCTTTCTGCAGATCAGCCAAATCATGAGGCACCCATTTTTCGTATTTTTTATTTTATTGATTTGACGCAACTGAGTCAATATTGTGGGTAAGGTAACGTTAAACCATGCCACTAATTCCTGGGCAGATTGACTAGGATCGGCTTCCACCATCTCTCTTAATTCATTGTTATTCACCTATGTGGGCCTATGTGGGTCTTCCTCGTGGCTCGTTCTTCATGTCAAAATTCTCGTTTCCATCACGAAAGTGTTTAAACCAAAATCGCACAGTGCGTTCATTAGCAGATCCCTTTCCAAACTGCGTTACTTCCGTGTCGGAACTCGTATTCAAAAATCACTCGAATTTTCGCAGTATCCATATTTCTTGTCTAAGTTGAATAACGAAAACAATTGAAAAATTTAAATGTTTCACATTTTTAGAAAGAAGAACATCATAGACACCATGTGAAAAAAGTTTCTATCGAAAATCTCAAACCATGAAGATTCATTGTCAATTCAAGGAACATATTACAATAAAGCGGCAATTTCATAATTAAACCCCTAATATTACTAATATAAACGGATAATTTAAATCTTGCTGAGCTTTTTCTTCAAATATCAAATGAGTTGGTAGCACTGTAAGCTTAGCATTGGAATAAAGAATATTCATATTTTGACTACCTATAGGTATAAGATAAGTTACATTATGGCACTGGCAATAATAAGATGTAATTCGTACTGTATGTGTTCATACAATACACAAGGTTCGTCTACGTAATGCAACGTAACCACTTAGAGCCCCTTAACTGCCCTCATAACTGCTTTTACTGCCTTACGTACGTGACTTGGAACGAAAGATACATTGCCAAGTTTTAGTTAAAAATGTGTCTTATGTAAATACATGCTTAAACGTTTATAAAAATTCGACTTCTGTACATTCTTTTTCGCAAAATTAGAGAAGTAATCGAATTTATTGACGAAAAATTTCCATATTGTCATATGGCATTGTATTCCGTCATTAAATGTTCATTTCTGGTCTGCACCCTTAGATAATGTTGTATCATTGTTAGCCAAATATATAAAATAGTTGAAAAGATCTGTTAAAAATTTAATTAGTATGCTTAAAGATTTATGTGCGTGGTATACAAAACTTCCTCAGCAATAATTTAAAACGTTAATAAAGTAAAATAGAAGTTGACTCAAACTTTCCTTTGGCACAAACGATTTTATACGTGCTAGTGTACTTTCAGAGAGATCAGTTTCGAGAAACATTTGAAGCATGAAAACTATTCGACGCGATTGAATTCAATGGCGTAATGGTTTGCGCATTCTATGATGCGAAGCAACATTCGCAAGACCAATAGCATAGGTGGCCAAAAATTTAATATATCATCGATTCGGAAAGCTCGTAAAGCCATTGGTGCTTGATCTTCTTCAGTTGTCATCACTCATCGATCCACACTGGGCCTGCGTGATGTATTGTTCCGTTATCCAGAGGAAAGATGTGTGTCCAAGTATTGGGAAAATTATAATAGCTGACGATGATATGATGTCTTATTATATTTCTTAGCTTATATTTCCCTCGTATGACGTAGCATCCATCCATAATCCATCCAGTAGTTTCAGAGCCTATTCAATATAGCTCAAATTATTACCTCTTTATAAAATAGATCACACTACCCTCTGACAAAATTTATGAGTTGATAACGTGTGCAAACTACCAAATACAGTCTCGTCGAATATCGCTTTAAGATTGAATGCAAAGGTTGACGAATGCTTAACTAAGATAATCATCATTAGCAAATCGTCCTCCCTGCCATTAAGACGGTTAAATGGATATTATAAAGTCAAATTAAATGATTACTGGAATATTGAGGACAGTCAGCGACGAAATATTTGACGACGCTCTACAATATGACTTTTTAATTACCTGCAATATTGGAAGGAGTAAGCAAATGGTACAGACAACAAAATCAATAAATACAATTTCCAATTGTGTTCTCAGGACTTTGATTAAAGTAAAAAGTAATATCCTGTTTAAAACAAAATT